TAACTCACCTTCCACTTTAGAAGCTTGAAGAGCTGAAAAAGTAGGAATTTGCAGCCGAATTCCATCGAAATCAGCTGATTCACCGTCACCGAGCCGCAGCCGCTGTCGCGTCACAGTGCAGCGCGGCTGTGCCGCCCCGACAGTCCGTAATGATGAGGACTGTACACCATGAGCTTGCAATGGAGCGCTGCAATGGTTGCTCGCTACAAACTCATCGTGTTGATGAAAATCGTGTTCGCTTCAGTTTTCAGACAGGCACTCATCTGGTGGGACCTGGCTTGTTATTACCGTTACATTTTGTTTTGTCTGCATAAGTAGGGTAATTACATAGCAATTATGGTACAGGGAGGCCTGCACATGTTCTGCTAGCGAGCTAATTAGGTTCACCTGCTGACCCAAATCACTTGACTGTTACAGTGATTTCAGACAGCATACTCCAAGAGACCGTGCTTACGATCGCTTCGTTGAGGTTCGACAGACTTTCCTTTGAAAAAACAGCAGCAAAATGTCGCTGTCGCTGTAACAGAAACATCGAGTCTGATCACCATAACCTTATGGCATTTGCGATTGTCTGCCCCGCCTGGTCCTACCGTCACATACCCGCTGGCGCTGGCGTACGTTTATGCAAAGCATGAACACATCCTTTTGCACAAAACAAAATGAGCTTGCGATCACTGCGTCGTAGCTGATTCCTAGTTTATAAGGCATGAAAAATGTAAAGAAGCACGTACCAGCAACTTCTATTCCACCTTTCGTTTGGCATTTCTTCGAAGGCACAGCCGAAACGAATCTCAACTGCGCAGTTCGGTGACTGCGCAGTTGAGATTCGTTTCGGCTGTGAGGGGGGATCTTGCTTCCCACCGAAGTGTCGACCCACTTAGTTCAGCTTTACAACAGTTTACAAGCGTCACCAGAGACCTATTCTATTCTATTCTGTTCTCTTTATTGACGCAGGCATGAGCCCACGTGAGAACACAAACCACAACAACGATTGGCATGCCTGTGCAATAAAACAAACTCAGATAACGCGACAGCTCTACTCTCGTAGCATGGAAGGTTTCGGCTCCGGTCTATGAGACGAGAGCTGATATTGTGGGCGGAACCGCCTCCCGATATACTGCCATGCCCGCAGCACATACTGCGAGGCAGAGCCTGCCTAGATGCTGGCCGCACCACTACTGACCCTACTCCTGCGAACGGCACTGCTGCATCTTGCCGGCTGCAGTAGTACCGCTGGCAAAAACTCCTGCCGTATCCTGCGAGCGGTACTGCTGCATCCTGTCGGCTATGAATCGATCGTTGTTCACGTGGACACGCAACTGCCCACGTGAATAACGATGCAGTACTACGGACAACTACTGCAATTTATAGCACATTTATCCTTATGACATCAATGAGAACAATTTTTCGAGCATCTGATCAGACCCGATTTAGGTCAAAATTTTAGTTTTCACTGGAAACTCGCCTATAGGGGTTTTCAAGGGTGCTGATCACAATGGTAAGGTCGTTTTGCCTCGAAATTCAGGGATTGTGAGCGGGTTAGTGCGAATAGGACCAAAATTTCAGTTTCCGTTGGAAATTTGCGCAAGTTTCCGAGGGGTCGGGAACTTAGAGAAGAGCTGATTGGAGCTAGCCTAGGCGGAGGAAGTGACAAGTGAGGTGATGGATTGTGAAGAAATGCTTATGGGAAAAGGTGTCCCTCCTGGCAGAGTTGTCCAGAGCAAACTTTTGACCCATATCGGGCAAAAAAAACATGACAACATTTCAATGACCTACTGCACATTATAGTGATACAATACTTCATCTGTTATAGAGATCGAGTTAATACATGTGTTAGCAACGGTTAAGGCACTACATGAGTACAGTAGCTACAACACTATCGCATGGTCCGTTTTTCTCAGAGGCAACTACTTTACACAATGCTCCCACGCTGTGAGATGACCTTCGCTGTCGAACTGCTGCTGCAAGAAACTCCAGGATCACCACGACTTAGCTCGCTCGGGACAGTGCTGCAGTGCATCCTTCCGTTGTGGACAAGAAAGGAACAACAAGGAACGGAGCGCACGAAGGGACCAAGGCGGAGTGCTGAGAAGCGAACCGTGCGGTTTTGAGGGCCCTATCGAGGCAGACGACGAGTTCACCCACGCGGAGAATAAAAGAAGACAGAGAAGCAGTTCGAAGGCGGACAGCGACAAAAAATCCCTATACACAGCCAGGAAAAAACGAACCAGCGGAAAGTTATTTCAAAATTATTTTCAAAACGTGAAGAATCCATACATCCCTGAGGAGTTCGCGGGTTACGTGGTTGGCTGATTGGCTTTCTAGGCCCAACACTCAGTCAGCGGCGATTCCAGTGCGCTCGAGTTGAGAGTTATCATGATGTCGCTTCTTCTAACAGTGCGTGTACTTTGTTGTGTGAGCTTAGCATAATCTGAAGTTTACTTACAGGGCGAGGTGGTCGTTTTTGACACATATTGTCTGATGTCCGCCCTAAACAATGAATAAATTGTTTCCATCATAAAATTGCCCAACGTTCCGTATACCTACATTGCTCGCGCGAGGGCCCCTCGCAAAAGTGGTTCCCAAGACATGCGCAGATTCTTGCGCTTCCTGAGCGCTCTAGCTCTTGCCGCATCATTGTTCCCAAGATCGAGCCAGAAACTAAAAAACTGAATTAAAGACGCAGTCACTAGCAACTAGTCTGTCTCACCGAGTGGGATTTTCAATCAATTCTTCCGGAGCGGCATCCAATTCCGGGGCGTCCAATTTTAAGCCATCAAGACAGCACCCTGATAAGTAAATTTAGACCTTTTACGGTAGTGTTTTCGATGAGTTGATCTACTGTACCTGACCTATTAGTGGTTCCGCAACACCACTCGGAAGGTCCTTCAAATCAGGCTTTCTTTGGTATCTACCTGACAACCGGTACGTGTACCCTTGAATGACGTGGGCAGGATCGCACGCCTAAAGTTAGCTGAGCACTAAGATTGTGACGATGGAGGTATTCACTAGCCTAATAACTTATCTGAGTCAAGTACTGCCTAAAAAAGTCGGTACACTGAGTCGTGTGATCTTCTGGGCGCACTCAGAGTACGTTTCCAGTGTTCTAGCAGGCAATTCATAGCATGAAAAGAACACTATTATTCTTCAATTCACACCTACAAATACCTTAATGTGACCATCAGATCTACCTTAAATGGGTACGACTCTTCAACTGTCCACTGCTTAGTCAAGTTCCGCGCATGCAGAAAAGTTCCGTCCGGCAGTTTTGGGTCGCTTGACGCTGCATCCGCTAAGCGGCAACATTCACGGTGCAAATGTTTTGTGTACAACATTAGCGAGTCAATCTGCAAATTTAAGCCAGAGGACGATTTTCTAAGGTGCTAAATGGTTTCAAGATAACCGACTAGTACTGTCATCCCAACTATTGCGTCTGATTGCCTTGCAGTCACTGCCATCAGAGAGCGAACGACGGAATCCGAAGACTGTGGCAATTCTCCCTACGGCCACTTGCAGCAGTTTAGCCTCTTCCACGCTGACACGGCTCTCTCTCTCTCACTTTACGTTCAAGAAAATCCGTCTTTATGTACTCCTAAGCGGTCCCCGTAAGTACAAAGGAAACAGACGTCATACTCGTCGCCAATGTCAAAGTGTGACATAACTTCGCCCAACTGCTCCACCGAGATTTCTCCGAAATGAGTCAACGCACGAGAAATGTCTGTAATGCAGAGGCTCTAAAACGTTTTTGCAGACAATGATGAAGAGCTTGAGAACCTTGAAACGATCGCGGACGACGTGGTATTCGACTTCCAGACGTGCTTTGATTATTGAGGGGGTCTTCCTATTGCCAGTAGCCAAAACTTCGTTTTCTGCAATACGAACTGTGGATCAGCAAGCTCATGTGTAAAAGTTGCGATGAACCCTAGACCTTGCGGTGCCATCGGTTCTTGGTTCTCCCTTGTGTATTGAAGAGCTCCTGGGATCCGCTTGAGTGCTGAGATAAACCCGGGAAGGAACCAGCGATGGAGGGGTCACTGTACATTCTCTGAGCGAACTGATCGAAATAGTATTGGTCAGAGACCTTGAGCTGCACTGATCATCGCGGAGGTTCTGGAGTTCAGCTGTATCTGGAGTATAAGAGTTTAACGTCAAGATGACATCTTTTTACAAATTTACAGCTCCTCCTACCACATCCTATTGAAACACATTCGGCAGATGTGAGCTCCGGCTCGGCTATATGCAGCGCATCACTGTTTGGGATGTATTCAGGGGATTGACTCATTTCACGCCTAAAGCTGTATCACTGAAACACTTTTTCATGGTAGCTAGAAAGCGGCAGATGTATATGCAAGGCAGGTACCTTCACACAGAAGCGGAGCAAACTCGAAACACTCTCCTTCAATTCTTCAACATGCCTTTAGGGTAAAGCAACAGCGGAGTACTCGTAAGCTTATACATACATCGAGGTTAAACCATAGTACCCGAGAGATTACATTCACTAGGTGAGAATATGAAGATCGCGATACGTACAAGAAGGAGTTGACACATCAGCAACAGTGCCTTCCTCAGGAGGAACTTTTTCCTAATCACAAGGGTCTACGTACGAAAACTCACGAAAGAAGCATTCCCGATAATGTGACGTCTGTACAAGAGGTTTAGGACATGATGCTAAACTGTTGGAATGGCCCGATTGTTTCAATCTATTTGGTGATTGTTTTGAAAGAAACAAAGTTTTTCCCTTTAAGCCAAGGATGAAGTACTTAGTGAAGTTCAATTTTCTACCCCAAAACCGAACCTGGGGTAGGACTGCAATGCCGCCAATGTGTCAACGCTCAGATGGGGCTGTGTTAACCGAACGGATTAGCGATTCAGTAGCACAACAACACTAGATTCGTGACACATAAGAGACAGATCCCGAGTTAATTAGCATAGCTGGAGACATGATGTCATAAGCATTACATACAACGAGCTCCCGTGCCACCACTTTTCTAAAAAAACGGTTACAGCGACGAATATCGTAGAGGGCAGAGCGTGCTCTGTAGGTGGCACTGTGTTGGCTGCTGTCCAGGGCTTGAACGAGTGCTATGAACGGGTCCTCGGTCAAACTTCCGCAGCAGTACGCGGCACTCGTTCGTCCAAGAATCGAATGCGAAGATGATCACTTGTCCAAATTGGGGAACCCCATTGACTTCCAGGTAGACGTATTCCTGCACAGTGTCCATCGTTTTTTTCTTATAAACTGCCGAGGAGTACTTCTTATTTCCTTTGCATAAGCGGTGACTGAAACTGTTTTTATAGCCCCTTGTGATTTTCCATACCCTGCACCATCTTACCTGAATCTGGAGAGATTCCTATGTGAGTCCCAATAGACTTGATGCTCATTCAGCAGATCCTGCCGCCCCAAAATACACGAGTCCGGCACGTACCAATCGTTATCAAGGAGAGTGTTATGCGAGCAAGTCCTGATGAATGATGCATATAACTTTACCTACCATCGCCACAAGCAGTTGTGTTTATGTTACCTAAGATTATCGCCTGCTGTGATCTTAGCGTTCAGACGGTCCAAGTACTCATTGCTAATTTGCTCTGTCTCTTTCACCAACTGGTCCACTGCCTCTTTGCGGAGAAGGAAACTAAAATTTGTAGATTTTTTCAAACATAAAGACTCCAATGAAGGCATACTTTCCAATAAGAGCGTCCTCAACGTTAGTTGTACACTGCGCGATGCAGATGTCTATGCATACTCTCGAACGAACTCGCTGACCAGTGATAAGGCGTCCCTATGTCATACAGGTCCTCCAGGATCGCGTGGTCGACGAGACACTGGAGATTCGATACATTTTGAAGGTCCATAACTGTCACTCTCCCATATATTACATCTATCAAACCTACATCCAAAGACCTTTCTACATTATGAGGAACACAACGACACTCACGTGGACCTTCATTGTGCACAAAGTCGGCTCGATCGCGTACCACAAATCCTTCATAGCGCTAACCAATTCCTGCACTCCTGGGAAATCATGCACCGTGCACAGCAATCAGCTCTGCGCTCTTTTCCAACACGCGCACTAATATTCAGTATGCGAGCACGGCGACTGCACCAACGGGTTCTGCACAAATATTCAGAGCGGCCGCAAGGGGAAATGCAAAGAAGGAAAGCTAAAATATGTAGCTGTGCGAAGCCATGAAAACTTAACTATAGACTGCTATGTTTCTACTTACAGTGTCCTTTGCCTGATAAGTCGTCCATTCCCAAAACGAATTTGGCCGCGTATGTAAAGTTGCGAGTTGCGGTGATGAAGCTATAGAACTCCTGCAGACACTCAGAACGAACTTTCATGGCCGGAACGTGACTTTTCGGAGAGAACATGGCTAAACTGATTGCTTTAAAGCCCCATGGAAAACGAAAGAGGAGAGTTAAGCGGGAACCTCGGAAAACGTCGCACGTTATTCCTTCTGAGATCACATGTAGAGCGTCTGGTATACAGTTATTAAACATTAGGATCTCCATCATCTGCATCCAACCTGTGCAAGATGTCCCGTACGTGTAACTTTAAGCAATGGACGAAGACACGGATCGCTCACCTCTGATCCCATTAGCGTTCGACATGGCATCCCGAGTTATTGAGGCAAATGTGCGACGATCTCCTGCATAAGGGAACCTGGGGAACCAAATCACTCGATGACACCTTCTTTCACCCTCGAAAGTGCACAGATGGCAACCGTTCTGTGACTGCCAGCGGGGTAAGTCGTATAGTGTTTTTAAGGCCTAAAACTGTATGTCATACAAAAATTCCTCTCCTGTGGTCGTAACTGCTGAACTCACACTGAAGTCAATGACACCTTTGGACAGTACAGGGGTGCAGAACCAGGTGCGATCATCTACAACAATGGGAATTCCGCTGTCCAGCAGCGCCTCCAGTTCGCTACGAAGTCTGAAGGGTTACAGTTCAACCTAGCAAATGGATGCAACCGGAAGAGAAGTCATAACTCACTGACCGAGAAAACATTTCTCGCAGCAGAGTTTCTGTGGGGTCTTTTTTGAAAACGTTTGCCAGCCAATACTATGTTTTCGACCTTGTTTTTCTCCTTGAACGGCAGACCTTCGATGCGAAGGTAGATAGGCCAGGTTTGCGACCTGAATCAGTGAAATGAGATGAGCAAGCGGAAACGGCCAAAGCACTGATGTCGAGCACAGACCGCGACAGTTTCTTTAGTTTGACGCCGTCAAAGTTAATAGTCAAGATGATATTGATCTTGCATTCGTCAAAGTCCGTGTGCGTTTCGATGAATCGCTTGTACCATGGGAATGAATAGGTTTCGCTCCGCTTGCCACTGTCATCCTAGAATGGATTGAGGGGCCTATCGCGGTACATTGAAAAATCAACTTCGTACTTAAAGTGACACTAAAGCTTACCTCGGCATGAATTTGTCTGTGAGTTTGAATTAGGCGACTGAGGATCCTTCCAAGTATTAGTGACAGTTGCGGCTCGATTTGCAGGAAGTGAATAGTAGTTCGCTTCGATGCTTTGCACCGCTTCGGAGTAACGCTACAATGAAGCCAGCTGAAGGGTTACGACGAGTACAACTAGGGAATGTGAGAACGGACCCTAGAAGGGGACATTCGGTGTTCCTACACGCTGCCCGCGGACAAATTAGGCGTGAGTCGCAAGAGTTGCAGTGAAAAGACTTGGAATGGCCGTAACGTCTATACGCCTCGTGCATCAACCGCTTGACTGAGTATCGAACCTTCAAATTATGTTATGTTTACCATTATTGTTAACGATTGTGTTTCCTTTTGTTATCTCTTGTTTCTTTTGTTATTGCTAGTCATCAGTTGTTAGCATCAAACAGGGAAAAAAACAAAAAAAACAAGAACAGCATGGACCGCATTTATCCCTTGGAAAATATTTTAAAA